ACAGGCCACAGAAAAGGCTTAAAACGGTAAATTCAGCCTAAATAAATGAAACAGTTTTAACAAAAGGCAGCAGGAACCTCTGCTGACTGAAGGATCCTGTTTGAGGATCTTTAAAGCCGTTTTATGGTCATTTAACATGATTTGACTTTAGTTTTATGACTAATCAGAGTCAGGAAAAGCTTCTTACCTTCAGAGTTTCTTATCTTTGGGGCGTGGGCTCAGACTGGAGACGTCCAGCAGAGAGAAGGAAGACCAGAGAAGTCTGAAGACAGGCCAGGAGTCTGGTTCTGAATCTGGTTCTGAGTCTGGACCTGGTTTTGAATCCGGTTCTGGGCTGAAGATATTGGTTCTCCTCGCCGCAGAATTTGTTCGCCGTGTGGCGGGAGGCGTGGCCGTTCGCGGCGGTGGGCGTCGGCTTCCTGCTCTTCGTGGCGCTGAACGGCGGCGTTGCCGTGGGCGACCGCTCCAGCCACCAGGCCTGCTTCCACCTCCCGCAGCTCTTCTACTTCCTCTCCTTCTCGCTCTTCTTCTCGGCGCCCGCCTGGGCGTGCGTTAAGCGGGCGCGCCGCTTCCTGCTCGCCGTGCGGGCGCGCCCCGCCCTCTTCCTGGCGCTCGCCGGCGCCGCCCTGCTGGCCGTGTGGAGGCTAACCACCGCGCACGCCTACCTGCTCGCCGACAACCGGCACTACACGTTCTACGTGTGGCGCCGGGTGGTGGGGCGCCCCCCGCTGGCCAGGTACCTGCTGGTGCCGGCGTACCTGTTCTCCGGCTGGACGGCGCTGGACCTCCTGCGGGGAACGCGCTCGCTGTTCTGGACGCTGGGCTTCCTGCTGAGCGCGGCGCTGGCCACGGTTCCCCAGCGGCTGCTGGAGCTCCGCTACTTCATCGTGCCCTACCTGATGTTCCGGCTGCACGCCTCGCCGCTGCCCTCGCCGCCCCGCCTGCTGCTGGAGCTGCTGCTGCACGCCGCCCTCAACGCCGCCGCCGTCCACGTCTTCCTCAGCTGGACCTTCCAGTGGCCGGAGAGCAGCGCCCCCCAGAGGTTCATGTGGTGAAGGGCGAAATAGAGCGTTTTCAGGCGGAAAAAAGGGGGAAATAAAGCGTTTTCAGGCGGAAAAAAGGGGGAAATAAAGCGTTTTCAGGCGGAAAAAAGGGGGAATTAAAGCGTTTTC